TCTTCTCTTCTCTTCTCTTCTCTTCTCTTCTCTTCTCTTCTCTTCTCTTCTCTTCTCTTCTCCCCTCCCCTCCCCTCCCCTCCCCTCTTCTCTTCTCTTCTCTTCTCTTCTAATGTTTCTATTCTATTCTATTCTATTCTATTCTATTCTACTCTACTCTACTCTACTCTACTCTACTCTACTCTACTACTCTACTCTACTCTACTCTACTCTACTCTACTCTACTCTACTCTACTCTACTCTACTCTATTCCACTCCATTCCATATTCCAGTCTATCTTCTCTCCTCTTCTCTCCTCTTCTCTTCCTTTCTCTTCTCCTCTTCCCTTCCCTTCCCTATATTCTATATTCTATATAGAATATAGAATTTGCACCAGACCAAATTCCTTGGGTGTCCAATCACACTTGGCCAATAAAGAATAAAGAATTCTATATTCTATTCTATTCTGTATTCTGTATTATTCTGTGTTGTGTGTTGTGTATTCTATATTCTATATTCTATTCTTTCGACCAAACCAAGGTAGATTACGTAAGATTTGTGAAGGCCCCCTTCTATGACACTCCCCTACCCCTGTGAGCTACACCACCAAACGTGGCTCTGATCAGAGCCACATCATTCCAGAGCGAGCTACAGCACCGTCTGTCACAGTACAAGGACCTCAATGGGTCTCACCCTGTGGGCCAGCTGCCTGCCTGGCTGGGGGAAGGCGGAATTACTTCCAATCCAGCTTGGAAGTAAATTTCTGAATAATTTCACATCTTTGTTTAACTGGGGTGGGGGATGCTGTCTCTCTTTCTACCCATTGGCCCCCAAGCCTTCGTCCTTTGTGTTATGGAATTGAGGAGGAGGCTGAAAAGCAAGGCCACCTGCTCACTCTTTCTGGCACCCCACCTTGGCTATCGGTATTCTCCAGGAGTTAGGGATGCTTTCACGGACCACCTGTTGCTCACCAAGGCCTGCTGGTTGGCTTCTGTTGGGATGCACAATGTCCACCTTGTTCTTGGACCCAGCCAATTTTATTCAGTCACCTGAAAAGGAGACTGCTGAGAAAGGAACTAGGCCCTCTGTCTTGTTTAGCAACCACAGTGGAGGATGGCAGTTCATTCGCTGAAGCAGTCGCTAAGTGAAACTGCAGTTGCATATATGATCTCACTTCCCTTACTTCACAGGCCTGTGAAGATCATCGATGAGAAGATTGGGGGCCAAGTTCCTTTTTTCCCTCCCCACTGAGAAAAAAATAACTGTAAATGGCCTCTAAACAAGGCAGCCGTTAAATGAAAACTACCTCCATCCTTCCATCCATTCACCTACTCATCTATCCATCTATCCATCTATCTGTTTATCCGCTTATCTATCCATTTATATATCACATTTTTCAGGACAGCATAACTAGCATTCTTGTTTTCCCTACCACAACAAACCCTGCGAGGTTCATTAGGCTGAGAAAGGAAGTTACTGCCTTAAGGTCCCCCGTGTTGTGGTTTGCCGGCAGCCTGCGGAGACGGCAGCAGAATTGGACAGTGGGGAAGAACAGGGACCAGTCCGGGAGTCTGCAGAGGACTCAGATGAGGGTCCTGCATCCGATACAGAGATGGGACCAGGACCAAACTGGAGTTATGTGCTGACTCTGGAGCCTCCGGAGTCTGGCAGTAGCAAGGGGAGCCTGTTCCCAGTGCGTGTCTGCACAGAGCTGCCTGAAGGCAAGAGCAGTTAAGACAAAAGGGATGACTCGGGAGTAAGGCTTGGAGGTGATTCGCCCTCCCATAAGACATAAAGGAGGAGCAAAGGGACAGGAACCTTTGCAGGAAGCAACGTTCGCTCTGTTCAGATTAAACCTTGGCACTTTAGTTGTTGGCAGCAATTCAAATAAGATAAGGTGCATTCATATCAGAGATCTTTTTATTTTTTATTTATTTTATTTATTTTTATTTGTCAATTGCTTACAAGATAATCGGTATAAGTAAAAACATAGTTATGAATACATGGATACATATAAGAAAAAATAAATATATATATTTATAAAAGAAACAATAGGACAGGGACGGTAGGCACGTTGGTGCGCTTATGCTTACGATCTTAGGCAGAACTTTGGCAGACTTCCGTGGAACTAATTATAACCAGTTAAGACTCATTCCGGGCTGTGAATGATGATAATTCACAGCCATTGAACTAAAATAAAAGAGTTTTTGATTTTATATGTGTTTGTTGGTGTCTCAGGAAGCTTTGGTCAGGACACCCAGGGACCACCCAGGGCTGAAGGGGGACAAGAATCCCAGTTCTCCCAGTCCTGGTCCAGCACCCTCACCACTACCGCACCTTGCTGTCATTTGGAGGAACACCTGTAGTTGGGGGTTGCCAACATCTGGACCCAAGAGAGGCTTCTATGGGGTCTTTTTTCTGAAGAAAGTATAAAAAATGCCCCTGTTTATGGAATGAATAAAAACAATGGAAAGATTAGAAGTTTACAGATGTTAGGCATTTTTTATGTAACATTTAAATAATACAATGAGGATTATATTAATTTGATTAATGAGATAGAGATTATCTACCATGTTATCGTGAACTGGATTAATATAAATGATACCTAGTTAAATTTGTTCATATATAACAGAGAAATGTTTAGATTGAACAAGAAAGATAGAGATGAAAGAGATAAAGATGAGGTGTTAGGCATTTTTTTTGTTTATGTATGTTTAAATATTCAAATAAGGATTACATAAATTTGATAAGTGCGATAGAGATTATTAATGATGTTAGCATGAATTGGATCAATATGAATGATACCTAGTCAACTTTGCTCAGGTACGATAGAGAAGTGTGATAGAGAAATGTTTAGATTGAACAAGAAGATAGAGATAAAGATGAGGAGTTGGATATTTTTTCCTATGTATGTGTGAATAATATAATGAGGATTATCTAAAATGGATAAATGTGATAGAGGCTATTAATACTGTTATTTTGAATTGAATGATACCCGGAACTGTTGTGATTCACTGGCCTTACGTGCAGATGGCTGAGGTCTCGGAGAGCGAGGACTCAGATGAGGCGCCTGTGTGTGATGCAGGGATGGGGCCAGGACCATCAGGGAGTGGAGCGCTGCCTTTGGGGATTGTGGGGGCTGGCAGCAATGATGAAGAGGTCCCTGAGGAGCCTGTGCCCAGTGCGTGTGCGTGCAGGGCTGCTCGAAGGAAAGAGCAGCTGCAGCAACACGGGCGACTTGGGAGTAAGGCTGCAAGGTGATGGGCCCTCCCTGAGGAGATAAAAGCCAGCTGAGAAACCGGAGTTCTTTGCAGAAGGCAAAGAAGTTTTACACTCAAGCCCGGTTGACGTTAGAAATATCTGAGTTTGTGTTTGGAGACTGTTTGTGTTGGAATTATTGCTTAGTAACTTTATCTGCTGTTTTTGGCAGCCTTGCAAAACCTTGGCAAGGCTCTTTCTTATTGGAGCGAATTGGTTTGAAGCAGCTTTTTACCCGTGAAGGAACGGGATTCGTAAAGAAACATTAAACGGCTTGTGCTGTTTCCTTTGTCTCGTGTTTGCTTCCTTGGAACCAGGTTTGGGTCAAAACAGGAACCAACTCTGTTCACACACGATATGGATGTAAATTTTAAAAATAAAAAATATATTTTAAAAAATTTAAAAAAATAAAAAATGCCCCTGCCAGCCAGCACCTGGAAACCATTCGGGAGCCAGAAGCTGGATAGCACCTGCTATCTTTGTCTTGGCTGGATTCAAACCACCCTCTGGGGCAGAAAGCCAGCTACCATTCTGGAAGCTGAACCTAGCCGACCTCGGAAGCAGCAGGTTGGAGTGCCTGGTCTCTCAGCCGTAGAGTTAATCTGTTCTTTCTTAAACAGTCACAAGGGCTGGTTCCCAGCGCATATTAAGCAATGTGGCAAGGCTACCTAAGCCTTTTCTCAGCCAGGAAATTTCTGGAGTTTTTATTTTTATTTTTGCAAGATTAAAGCAGTCCTTCGAGCCAGCTGGAGCTTGGTTTGGTGACTGTACAAAAATTGGATCGAAGGGAAGCCGCTGGGTTTCACCCTATTGAATTAGCACGGGGGTCACCAACCTTGGCAACTTTAATAAGACTTGTGGACTTCAACTTCCAGAATTCTTTTTTTTTTTTTTTTTTAGAAAAACTTTATTAATTTTACCATTAAAAACAACACATCTACAAATTGTATACAGAAGAGAAAGCAAACAGGCCTTGGCAGAGGCCGAGAGGGAAAGAGAGAAGGGCAAAGGAGGGAGGAGAGGGAAGGGTAAGGGAAAGGGGGGATAGAATGGGAAAAACAGTTAAAATAAAACCATATTTTTGTGACTGTCTGTAAGATCCTTTCTTCTTCAAATATATCGTCAGCGGGACTTTTCATTAACTCTGCTTAGGTAGCCCTTGGCTACAATTTTTCTCGAAATAGTCTACCTTTGATTTAGCCAATTGTACCAAGGATTCCAATTGTTATAATAGGTTGAGGATTCTTTATTTTTTAATGATTGGGTTAGTTTGTCCAGAATTCTTCAGCCCTTAACAGATTAACAGAGTTGGAAGGGACCTTGTAGGCCATTTAGTCCAACTCTCCCCCAACCCACCCAAGCAGGAGAGACCCTACCAGTGGTGGGATTCAACATTTTTTTACTACTGGTTCTGTGGGTGTTGTTTGGTGGGTGTGGCACGGCTTGGTGGGCGTGGCAGGGGAAGGATGCTGTAAAATCCCCCTTCCCTCCCCACCCCACTAACCTGCTTTCCAGCTCCGTTCTCCTGTGCAGGGCAACCAAAGAAGACCCAGCCGATCAGCTGGGACTCAATGGGAGGCAGAGCAAAGCTGGCTGGGGAATTCTGGGAGCTGAAATATGCCAGGCTTAAAGTTGCCAAGGTTGGAGACCCCTGCTTTAGAGCACTGCAGATTCTCAGGAAAAGAAGGGAAAGGATATAATTAGAGAAATGTGGACTACACGGAGCGTAACTACAAACTTGAGAAATTAAAACAGTAATGAGTTTTGAAGGGTTGGAAAAGCTGCCAATGAAGCCAGCTCCCACGGGGAATCTAGTCCTTGGCAGGGACATTGGATTCCTCTAACAATCAGCTTCCAAGAGAGAAGTTTTGAGCGTTTTTTTTGCCTTGCAGGCACCCCTGGAAAATGGTGTGCCAACTTTCCCCAAACAGTCATCTTGAATCGGGAACTTTGGAGAACCGGATTTCCAAATCCACTCCGAGAACACCATGGTGGTGAAGCCATGGCAGCTTTGGGAAGCCCTGGGTAGCGTGGTAGATGGTTAAAGTCCCTTTCTAAGTTCTGCGGATGGCCTGATCAGCATCGATGGGTTGACAAAGTCTCCTAAACCGATGTTTAGTATTAATATTGGGCTGCTGGTCTGAGCAATTGAGTTTGGCAATTGGATTGCAAACGTTTCGTCCCCATTCAAGGCGACCTCGTCAGTGTGTTTTGAATTGTGTTTGTCATCAGGGGTGGGATTCAAAAACGTTTTACTATTGGTTCTGTGGGCGTGGCTTGGTGGGCGTGGCAGGGGAAAGTTACTGCAAAATCCCCATTCCCTCCCCACCCCACTAACCTGCTTTCCAGCTCCCTTCTCCTGCGCAGGTCAACCAAATGAGACCCATTCGATCAGCTGGGACTCAATGGGAGGCAGAGAAGAGATGGGGGTGGGGCCAGTCAGAGGTGGGATTTGCCAGTTCTTCGGACTACTCAAAATTTCCGCTACCGGTTCTCCAGAACTGGTCAGAACCTGCTGAATACCCACTTTTGGCTTGTCTGTCAAAGCACTGGTCTTTAAATACCATCTTTATGCAATGCAAATTACTGTGGGTGTTGTTTGTTCAACTACTTCTTATATTCAACTTATATTCAAATGCATTTCTCAATATTGTCAGTTTTGAAGATGTCTGGACTTCAACTTCCAGAATTCCCCAGCCAGCTATGCTTATTCCCTTTCGTCTTTTTTTTAAGGATGCAGCCTCAGGAAGAGTGAATCAAAATCTTTAGTCAAGGGGAGGGGGGAATTGGAAATTTGGAAATTGGGCACATACACCAGAGTTGCTGCCTGCTATCTTGGAAACATAGGGCTAGAAGGGACCCGGGAGGTCTTCTAGTCCAGCCTCATCACCCTGAAATTCCACTCTGAGTTTTGGAGTCGATGAGAAGGTTTTGAGTCTTCTTGAAGTGGAGACTGCCTTAAGGGCATTACTAAGACAGCCCTTTTAAAACATTTTAAAAGATCACGCACACATTTATCCTCTACCATCTTCATTTTCTAGAGAAAAGGTTGTTTGCTTCAGCTGTTGGAAATATTCTGGGATGCCTTGGAAGACTCTGTTGGTTGGCTGGCTGTATCCAAGGGAGATACTGATTCCAATTCATTCAGGAGCAATCTTCCCTCTGTTTTTTGGAGTTTTCTCACCGGTGCAAGCAACTTGAGTTGAGGGCTTTGGTTTATGCCAGTTGGCTGTTGCTCAGATGAGTTCGTTCGGCTCTGCTGGCATCAGCAGGGGAAAAAAAAAAACCTACTCCCAGAGAAAAGCCAGAAGCATCAAAATGGAGCACCAACAGAGCCTCCCTATCTGGCAAAGATGCTCATGCATCAAAGTGCAAGAGAGGAGCAGAGAGTGCCCATGTTCTCTGCTGTTGCTTCCAAAATATTGTCCAGCACGTTAAATGTTTCCTGCCGAAAGCCAGGATGGAAAACATCTGATCTGGGAAACTCTCAAATGCCAATCTGTGTAAATTCTGGGAAACAGAATAACAGAGTTGGAAAGGACCTTGGAGGTCTTCTAGTCCAACCCCCTATTAAAGCATCTGTCTCCTGGGCCTCAGGAGATGCTTGGTGCCCCTCAAATGCCAGCTGAAAAATCTATTGAGGTGCGTCTGAAAATTATTGATCAGGAGCCCAAATAACATGGCTGGTTTTTTTGTCGGCTGCTATCTCGGTTAAGGGGATGCAGTGGCTCAGCGGTTAAAGACACTAAGCTTGTATGCTGTCAGCCTGGGTTTGAGACCCAAATGTTGTAGGATGGGATGAGTTCCCCTTTCTGCTCCTGCTCCTGCCCACCAAGCAGTTTGAAAGCATGCAAATGCAAGTAGATAAATAGGTATCACTTTGGTGGAAAGGTAACAGTATTCTGTACACCTAACGTATAGTCCTGCTGGCCAAATGACCATAGAAATGTCTTCAGAGAATGCTGGCTTCCTCGGCTAAGAAATGGAGATGGTAGCAATGTCCCCCAAAGTCAGACAAGACTGGACAGGATGTTGGAAGAAAAATCCGGTCTGGTTCCAATCCGGGAGAAAGACGCTGCAAATAAAATGGAGGCTGATTGGAAAGAAGGACTCTGTTCATTGATGAACAGAACCAACACACAGCATGTAGTGCTGGGACAGCTGACAAAATGGCTGAATGAGTGGATGGGTCTTTGTAGGTTTCTTGGATTTTGTGTTTGAAATGCTTCAGGGAGTTGTGCTCTTCTTAAAATACCTGCAGTGTGTCAACTCAGAAAAGATTCCTATGCCTGTTTTAGTAGTTGCCATTAAAAAGGGGGGGGGGGGGGGGGGAAGGAAATCTGGAAGAGCAGTGCAGCCATTTGGAAGCGAAAGTACATTCCAACTCTTCTCTTTAAAAGATTGTAACTAAAATACCAGGGCTTTTCCCCCGCGAATATATTTATTCAGAGAACACTAATGATGATACCCAGCCTGTGAACGTGCTCAGTTGGAGAATCTGATTTATGACACACCCAGGGGGGGAAACAGGGTCACAGGGGACTGTAAATTACATATGCCAGAGTTGGCTTTATAACAGGGCAGTACCAGTAATAATGCCAGTGCCTCTAATAAATCCTTTGAAGTTTTTTGAAGTTTGGCTCGAGAATCATGATTTAATTAGAGCGATTGCTGGAATCCTGACACAGTGATGAAGATCCCACAATTTCTGAAGGCAAGCTGTTCCACTGGTTAATTGTTCTCATCATTAGGAAAATTTGACTTAGTTCTAGGTTAGATCTCTCCTTGATTAATTTCCATCCATTGCTTCTTGTCCTGTCTTCTGGAGGTTTAGAAAATAGCTTGACCCCTTCTTCTTTGTGGCAGCCCCTGAGATATCGGAAGACTGCTACCAGGTCACCCCTAGTCCTTCTTTTCACAAGACTAGATAAACCCAATTCCTGCAACTGTTCTTCATATGTTTTAGCCTCCAGTCCCCTAATCCTCTTTGTTGCTCTTCTCTGCACTCTTTCCAAAGTCTCAATGTCTTTTTTTTTTTTTAATAATATGGTATCCAAACTGGATGCAATATTCTAAGTATGGTCTTACTAAGGCTTTATAAAGCGGTACTAAGATAAATCCATTCCAGCTGCCTGTTTAGGATATAAACTTTTTGATTTGTTTTGGTTTCAACTTGCAAACGGTAACGTTCATCCATCCATAAATATTTGAAAGTCAGATATTTCCAGACATTAATTGAAAGGAGAAAATTCACATCCACAATCTGGTTGCAGTCACGGGCAATTATGAATGTGTGCCAACTGGTGGCTTTGATGAGGTTCTGCATCTGCCGGATACCAAAAACCAGGTCACCAGTTGAGTTTAAATGCTGAAATAAGTTCAGAGACCGGGATTTGTGTCCTAATTTAAAGCTGCATTAACAATGCAGGCAGGAGACAGCAAGCACGCACACATCACTCTGGAGCATAACAGCAAAGTGTACTTTGTGATTCTCATGTTAGCTTATTCTATATTAGGAAAATATGCCAAGAATCAGGGAAGAGAATAGAACACTGAAGCCCTCATATCCAACCCCCTGAATTGGACAAGGATAGGAACAATTTTGAATAATGAGGATATAAAAACAATCAAGAAAAAACAGGCAGATCCACAAGGAGTGATTTTTTTTTAAAGAAAAATCAAAATGGCAATAACAATGCAATCAAGAATGCATCTGGTGTGTGTGTGTGTGTGTGTGTGTGTGTGTTGCACATAAAAAATGGGGAGAACTGCAATTGCACACTGATGGATGCCATTTTGACTTTTTTGACCATGCCTTGTGGACTTCCATCAAGGCGAGCAGCCAACTGGCATTCCATTTTCACCGAAATGAACCAAAAGGAAAATCTGAAAGCAAAATTTGGAAAGGATTAAAAAAGAGCGAAGCAAGATGCCCACTTCCTTGTCAAAATAAATTCATTCACACAGTTCCTGGGTTAAAATATCGGCAAAAAGCAGAATTTCAGAAATGAAGGTTCTGTTTCAGAGAACAATTGTTTAGGAAGGACGGAGAGGAGATCCAGATATAGGTGGTTCTGAACCCCACATTTTGGCGTGATCAAGGTGTTACTTAATGAATAAACCTAGCTTTTCTACTTTTCACTTTTCTATAATCAATTATCAATTGGATGTCGAAATAATCTATATATAAAAAAGCGAAATGCCACTCAGGCATCAACACAAAATCTCCAGAACCGTAAAGCCTACAAACTTGAAATTTGGCACGTATGTTCCTCTTGGCTTCTAGAAACGATTTTTTGAAATGACCATCAGAGCATTAGTATTTCCTATATTGTTATTATTAACATGCTCTGATGCTGAGGACTTCTACTCCCCCTCCCCACCTGAAAAGCAATCTATTCCAAATGCAAAAAACAAGCAGAGGAGAGGAGTTTTAGTTTCACAGCACCAAGCAGCTTTAGTACAAAACAGTTGAGCTAAGCCACGCCCAGACTCCTTACTGCTCCTTCTTGATCACACAGCAAATACTGTTTCACTTTCCAAACAGCCCTCTCTTACACACTGACAGGACACTAGCCAGATGAATACCGATGGATGCTGGTAGGCAGAGGCAGAATTTTTCCCCCTTATTTTCCTCCCCCAAAACTAAACCCGACCACATAGTTTCGTAGCGAAGCACAGGTATCGAGCTAGTCTCCATATATCATACAAAACATGTCCTTATTCTTACCAGTTAGTTTTAGTTGAACTAAAGTTCAGCTTGCAACTCAAAATCCACATTATCGATAGAGGGGACCATTGGTTTGAAAGAGGGGTAAAAGAGCCCGTCTATATTAGAACTGAACAGCCCTCCCTCAACAGAGAAGGAGGTGCAAGAGATTACCAATCTCCTGTGTACAATGCAGCCCTTTCAGCAGTTCAAAGAAGATTGCACGACCAATTGCACCCTGATTCAGGTGACCTTGAGGGCAAATATAAGCCCCCAAGTGATCGGAAGAGCTCTCAGGGAGAGTGCTAACGACCAGATGACTGCCAAGAAATACAATCCTTCCATCCATCCCATCTTATCAAAACCTATCTTTCCATCCCTCCATCATTTAGTCTTGACTGTCAGTACCTATCCATCCAATCCCCCACCATCACAACTGATGAAGCTTCTTGGATGAGAAGTGAAGCGTTTTTTGTCCAGTTACCCTTCAAAAAAGCACCTTTCAGACAATTATGACCTAGATGCCCGAGAATCTCCACAGAAACTTATAACTGGAAGTTTTAAAGAAGAGACTGGACAGTCACTTGTCTGAAATGGTACCTATGGCACCTGTGCCACAGGTGACATGCAGAGCCATTTGTGTGGGCAAACTTACCTCACTGCGTATGCGCGCGCCTCCAGGCTGATTTTCGGGCCTTTTTCGGCCTCCCAGAGGCTCGAGGGAAGCCTCTGCAGCTTTTGTAGGCCGAAAAACAGGCCCGTTTCATCACTTCCTGTATTTCTGGAAATACTGGAAGTGACGAAACGGGCCCATTTTTCGGCCTGTAAGGTTGCAGAGGCTTCCCTTGAGCCTCTGGGAGGCCGAAAAGGTCCAAAAATCAGCTGGGAGGCTCGCGCATACGCAGTGCAGGTAAGGGGGCGGCGGGGGGGGGAGGATTGCACGCACATGTGCAGGGGGCATGGGGGGCACACGCATTGCCTTCTGGGTGCTGGCACATGAGCACATATGCAATTTTCGGCACAGGAGCCCAAAAAGGTTAGTCACCACTGGTATAGGTTCTCCTGCTTGATCAGGGGGCTGGACTAGAAGACCTCCAAGGTCCCTTCCAGCTCTATTCTGATTGATTGATCCATTAAACTCTATAGAAAAGTAGGAAAGAAAGCATCCTTGTATTTATTTCCCCGTCTTCAACACAAAGTATGCTAACACAAGAAAAATGCTTATTCCAAATATTATAAAATTATTGTCAGATCATAACAAGTGTTCAAAATACAACTTTTTCTGTTGCTGAATCCACAGAAATATAATTTCATCTAAGACTGTGACGGATGCTGTATTCAAGCGGAAAATAACAGCATCTTTCAACATTTGACCACACAAACCCTGTGCTTGCTGGTGGTATTCTTAAATTCCCCTTTCAAAAGAGATTGAGTAAAGAATGAACTTTTT